ATTGTCTGAGGAATCCAAAAGTGTCATATTAGAGAATTCCAACAAATAGTAAGCCTGCTGCACCAGACATAGCACAGGCAATGGCAAAGACAACAGAGGTTTTATCCAACTGCTCCACTGACAGATTTCAGCTCAGGTTTACTAATACAATGTGTTATCTGTCAAGGAGAAAGAAATGAGTCATATCGTTTGGTGGCATTTGAGTCTGTAAAGGTCACAAACATGACAGATCGGTCAAGTCATTTTGGTGCTTCTATGACCGTCCCTTTTTTGTGCTATTGGCTTGTGTTCATTAGTAGTGACATTGAAAATGACACTCTACCAAGATATGTAAAAATCTTGCCCAGCCTTAATAAAGCAGCAAATGCCATGGCAGGCTGAGAACAGTTCTCTGCACATACAAAGGAAAATAGGTCTAAAAGGGGAATTTGGTGCAGTCCTAACAATAGTTATTATGGCTCTACATTGGCTATGTTGGACTAACATATTTAATAATTTAACACATTTGGAAGGAAAAAAGGAGCTGTCCTGGAACTTCAAAAGACAAGAAAGATCTGATTTTTATGTTAAAACATATTTTTGCCAGTATGTTACAAAAATAATAATAATAATAATAATAATAAGATATCTTTCAAGAAGCTGTGTAAATGCATGTTCAGCCCCTATAGAATTTGTGATACGATTCTGTATCTGGGGCAGTGGGGGAGTGGGGAGGAGGAGGGGAGAAATCTTCAGCTAAAATTAATGTTACAGGGCCTACTGTAAACTCCACCAATTTACACCATCTGACCTATTGCACATTTTTGTCTTCATTCACTAAACTTCTAAACACTAGAACAAAACATTTTACAAATAAAGGCCACACCCACCTATACTTTGTCCCATTAAGACAGGATTTGGCCTACAATTTAAAGGGAAAGAGATAATTTCTTGAGAGATAAAAAAATGTAACAGATTCCCTGTGTACTGAAGTCTTAAACAGGAGTCTTGCCCCTCCAAATCAACTCCAAAAATCATTGTGAATAAATGTTAAAATGATTTAACAAGTAGTAATAATAATAGTGTGCTTTTCATCCTAGGATCTTAAAACAATGTACACCTCACGGCAGGCCTCTGAGGTGGCAAGTGTTCTTAAAATACCCCATTAGAGCTTGATAACTGGAGACAAATAGTGTTCTCTGATTTTGGATGATCTAGGTTTTAAGTGTCCAACCCACAGGCCTAATTTTCAGAGGTACTGAACACCAGCAGCTCCCATTAAATGTAATATGCTCAGCCTCTCTTAAAATCAGGCCCAAAGTGTCTCAGGCTGGACTCCCAAAAGCACTGGAAGCACCCACAATTAATAAACACTTTTGAAAATTTGTGCCTAAGTGACTTGCCCAGGGAACACTGCAAATCAGTGGCAGAGTTAAGAATAGAATTCAGTAGTAAGGAATGTGCTGAATGTAAGCACAGAACTCCAGAACCCCCGATATCAGAGTAGGAAGATGGGGTTCATTTAGCCCCCATCTGCCCTTCTCACAGGTGCCTTCCTGCTAAATCCCCTACAACTATCCCCTCATCCTAGATCCGAGGGCACCCACACATTACAATAAATGTTTTCAGGAGGCCACAGGGTCCTGCTCCCCATCCCTATACCCTCCCTTTGTGGCTGGTGATGCTCTCTATCCTCTTGGTTTTCAAAAGTGTTGAGAATGATTTAGGAGAAAGGCCTTGTACAGGTCACTGCTGCTCAATCCATATAGTGCATCTGGGAGTGCAGAGACCTGATAATCCCCTAGCATGTTAACTAGGAAACCTTAGGAAGATAACAAGTGTATAGCTGATAAAGCTCTCAGGGTTTTCCTCACTATTGCATTAAGAATTATGAGGCATCTTTGTTGTCTGTTAATAAAGTAAATAAAGATGTTAACGTTGCTATTGGGGAGTGGAAGAAAGCGTATCCCTAGGAGGTCCACCCTTGTTGGAGGAAACAGCTATCTGCCATCGGGAAGACCCTTGTTAGGGCTGAGGGGGCTGTTGCCTCAGGAAGATAATCTCTCTGAAAACACCTAGTTGCAGGGGGTGGCTGTGGATTTCTCCTGGAAGTATGAGTTCTGAACCACCCAAGTGAACCAATACCTGCTGCTTAACCCCACTTGACATGGCTCACCCAAAATGAACCCTGCAAAATTTACACGCTGATGAGTTCTGACTCTCAGTGCCAAGCACCAATCACTATATTTATGGGTCATCATATGGACCCACGGGAAGGAGGCCCTTGAAGAATTCCACCTGGATTTCAACAATTTCCACCCCACCATCAACCTCCACCTGGACTAGTCCACACAAGAGATCTACTTCCTGGACACTACAGTACAAATAAGTGATGGTCACATAACCACCACCCTATACCGGAAACCTACTGACTGCTATTCTTACCTACATGCCTCCAGCTTCCATCCAGGACACATCACATGATCCATTGTCTACAGCCAAGCCCTAAGATACAACCGCATTTGATCCAATCCCTCAGACAGGGACAAATACCTACAAGATCTCTATCAAGCATTCTTACAACTACAATACCGACCTGGGGAAGTGAGGAAACAGGTTGACAGAGCAAGACGGGCACAGAGAAGTCACCTACTACAGGACAGGCCCAACAAGGAAAATAACAGAACACCACTGGCCATCACGTACAGCCCCCAGCTAAAACCTCTCCAGTGCATCATCAACTATCTACAACCTATCCTGGAGGACGATCCCCCACTCTCACAGGCCTTGGGAGGCAGGCCAATCCTCGGTTACAGACAGCCCCCCAACCTGAAGCAAATACTCACTAGCAACTACACACCACACCACAGGAACACTAACCCAGGAATCAATCCCTGTAACAAACCCGGTTGCCTTCTCTGTCCCCGTATCCACTCTAGCAACACCATCATAGGACCCAACCACATCAGCCACACCATCAGGGGCTCATTCACCTGCACATTTACTAATGTGATATATGCCATCATGTGCCAGCAATGCCCCTCTGCCATGTACATTGGCCAAACCGCACAGTCTCTGCATAAAAGGATAAATGGACACAAATCAGACATCAGGAATGGTAACATACAAAAGCCAGTAGGAGAACACTTCCGTCTTCCTGGACACTCAATAACAGATTTAAAAGTAGCCATTCTTCAACAAAATAACTTCAAAAACAGACTTCAAAGAGAAACTGCAGAGCTACAATTCATTTGCAAACTTAACACCATCAATTTGGGCTTGAATAGGGACTGGCTGGCTCACTACAAAAGCAATTTTCCCTCTCTTGGTATTGACACCGCCTCATCAATTATTGGGAGTGGACCACATCCACCCTGACTGAATTGGCCTTCAACATTCGTTCTCCACTTGTAAGGTAACTCCCTTCTCTTCATGTGCCAATATATATTTATGCCTGTATCTGTAATTTTCACTCCATGCATCTGAAGAAGTGGGGTTTTTTACCCACGAAAGCTAATGCCCAAAGAAATCGGTTAGTCTTTAAGGTGCCACTGGACTCCTTGTTGTTTTTGTACATTTACACAATGGATCGAACAATGGATAAAGGCCATGAGATAAGGGGGACCCATTCCACTCCTGAAATGATATCAAAGGAATGTCTGTGAATGGCATGATAACTTTAATTTCTTGATCACCTCTGGTTTATTTTATTACATAAAGATTAAAGATTGCTGACTCAGTGTTGCTAGTTTTAGAGCCAAATTCAGCTCTGTGTTACTTCATTGACTTCAGTAGGGTTTCACAAGTGTAAATCAGGGCTCCGTTTGGCACTTATTTTGTCCTGATGAATTTAAGTGTTAGATGATATACAAAAGAGTATATCAGTAGGTACAGTATATTCCAAGGGAAGGGACTTATACAGTATATATTGTGACAAAGTTTCTCCTCTGCCTTGGTGGGTTCTGCGCTTTCTGGCGGATTTGCTCGCCTTAGAGATTCACGGCAGCCCTCAGTTTGCCATTTACTCAGCTAACCTCATCACTGGCCAGCATGGGGGAAATGGAGAACAATCTCCGCAGTCTCTGTTGTCCCACCTAGTGGGTCGGGGACAGGCCAGATCCCTTTCCAAGTTAGACCTTCCCTTCTGGTGTGTCTCACAGACCAGGTCAACTCCTTCTGTGTCAGATAGGGAGTTGGGGAGGGGGGGAACCTCTACACTGGGTTCCAGCCCAGGGCCCTGTGGATAGCAGCTGTCTAAAACGTCTCCTGTATCAGCTGCCTGACAGCTACAACTCCCTGGGTTACTTGCCCATGGCCTCCCCCGAGCACCTTATTTATCCTCGCCGCAGGATCTTCCTCCTGAAGCCTGATAACGCTTGTACTCCTCAGTCCTTCAGCACCACACCTTCTCACTCCCTGCTCCTTGTGCATGCCCCACTAACTGATGGGAGGTCCTTTTTAAACCAGGTGTCCTGATTAGCCTGCCTGCCATAATTGATTCTAGTAAGTTCTTAATTGGCTTCAGGTGTCTTAATTAGCTTGCCTCTCTTAATTGATTCTAGCAGGTTCCTGATTGCTCTAGGGCAGCCCCTGCTCTGGTCACTCAGGGAACGGAAAACTATTCATCCAGTGGCCAGTACATTTGCGTTCTACCAGACTCCTGCCCCCAACTGGTCTGGGTCTGTCACAATATATACATTATATTCCAAGACTTATATTTTCTAATTGAAAAGTGTATTAGAATCGAAATTCAGTCCTGCCAAATTCCTTTTAAAAATGGCCACAAAACAAAATTTAAAGGTGTAGCAACCCGAAGAACATTACTGTTTAATATTTAGAAAAAATGTTTTGATTGTTGGAGTCAAGTTCTTCTTTTCATTGTTAAACCATCTTAAATTCAAGCAGGCTGCAAACGAGTATAAAGACTGTAACCTTTGAGCCCTCAAACAGCTGGTGTCTCAAGTGATTTCTCAGCATTCTGGTGGGACAGCAGCAAGCAGGAGACTCAGAAAAGCTTATTTTAAGTAAAAACTTTATTTTTCATTACAATTCACAGTTTATACATGGCAAGAAGAGCTTCTCACCACGTGGACATTCAGAACACTGTGCTGGGAGAGACAGGGGTCTTTTTCTTTTAAAAGAGCATGGCCTGGTACTAATTCATGGAACTTTCCTTAATTTAAAAGCTTACTCTCTGTAAATGTTAATTGACTGATATTTACACTGATAGCATTGATTAATCAGAGAACAAGATTAAGCATCCAGAACATTAACATTCATATTTTGTATGCTATCTAATGGTCAGAAATGCTACAAATTTGTCATTTTCATCATGGCCAATCAACAAAGTCTAATTTTTCTTTAATTTGCACAGAGCCTAAATTATTCCCTTAGGGCTTGTTATATTCATTTTATGTACAGCCAGCTTACAATAGACTAAAATATGAAAAAATTTTAAAAAGACAAAATTATCCATTCCTTGTTTTTATCCTGCATTCCTTCCGAGTCTCACACACAACTATAAACAAAACAACAGATATAGAATTAAAGTCAATGCTTTTCTTTAAAACCAATACAGAAACCCCATGGATTGGCTTCAGATCTGCATATCATCAGCCTGTCCTATCTGAACAATCATCGGCATTCAGATTGTGCTATTTATCAGCTTTCCTTCATGTCTGTATTTGTATTCAGAGAAGTCTGTATTTTATATGTAGAAAGTCACAGTGATACCAGTTTCAATTGCATTCCCACATCAGTCATAGTTCCGGTGTAGGCAACCAATGTACAGTGTGACATTCAGGAAAGCACTCCAATAGGATCCAGTAGGAGCCTGGTGTGACTTGGCTTAAATAAAAAGTTTAAAATTCTTTTCAGCGAGTAACTTTCTGGCAGCAGATTTATGATTATTAGAAATTGCTGTGGTATTTTTCTGAAATGTTTTAATGAGTATGTTATTAGAATGCACCAATTAAAAACATTTCCACATTGTATTAACTTCTACTTCCTCTTGTGATCTAGCAAATAATTTAATTACACATAACTGGAGATTTTTGGTAATCTGACACATGGGATAACATTGCTAAACAATTCTTGAAAAATAAAACCCAAAATGGATCCATAAATTCTACAGGTCTGGTTCTAATATAGTGTGAGCTTGCATCACCTGGATGAGAGTAAAATAAATATTTTCAGGGGACATTTTTGCAACTCTTGTAACTGCCGTGCCTGTAAAGCTAGATTTAGGAGTGTCACTTTGATGTCTGTTGATTTTTGGCATCCATTCTCAATGCTGGTATCTTCACTAAAGACACCTTTAAAACATCATCATTTCAGGCAAGATGAAAGCTCAAATGAAATACATTACTCATGCAAAAAAACAAACAAACAAACACAAACCATGTAAGAGTTATAGAGGTTCTGTTTCTTCAAAAGATAAGGCACTGACAAAAATTTCTTAGGTAAAAGGCTGCATAAGAATTTCTTGCCATTTACAAATGTGTTGTAGTCCATAAATGGTCCATTCCTAGGCTCAGTAAGGTAGACCCTGAAAATGTAAGGACTGATCCCTCAAAGCTACATTGTTAACATAAACAAATATAATTCATTATTTAGGCCATATGGCACATTAGGAGAAATGAACAACAGTCTGAGCACAAAAAGGCATTGGACGTTGCTTGCTCCAGCATCTATCAACAACAGAAATTCCATTCATCTTGTGTCTGAAGAGATATGATGGTGACACTGAATCCCTATCGTGGTGGTTTCTGTTGAACTCATGCACATGTATAAAATGTTACTAGCATCAATCATGGATAGGAAAAAAAAAGAAGTATATGGCTAGTTTAAGCCAAAAGCTTCTCCAAGGATCGGCATCCAAAGTCAGCACTACTTAATGTTTTCAATCACAGCAATATCTTCCGCTGCACAGTGAGGAGTCAAACCATTCATATAAATGCTGTCTGTCTTTGTTAGAGCAGGCAAGATGTCCTTCTCGCTGCAGAGGTGGTTGACTGACAGGGTTCTCTTGCAAGGGGTCAGATCTTGACTGTGGTTGACAGCGAGCTCTGCAGAGAGCTTCCTTTTGATGGAGGTAGCCCGTTGAAACTTGTCATAAATCTCCACACTTAGACGCCTGCGGGTTTCTTTGAACTCTGCCGTGACATTGGCTGTCCATTCGGCAGCGTGAGCTCTGAACTCTCCCACCTGCAACACACACAATGAAAGAGAAGGGGAGAGAAACACAACATGACTAGGCACTTCAAGGATGGTTTATATTCAGGACCCCAGAATGAATAGAGAACAAAACTGTTGCCCATTGGCACAACTCTTTTTTGGTTCAGGTTTACCTTTTGTTTAAAAAAAAAGTCTAGTTTCATAGAGTTATATTCTTTCGTCCAAAAGGAAGACATATTAATACAACAAGAGCTAAGAATGACATTAAACACAACAACAACAAAAATCTATACAGTGAAAAATGTACAAGCTGATTTATATGGAATCAATAAGGGGAAATTTCCTTTAAAAATGAGGTCCTGACAGTTGAGAACAACCCAGCTGGCCGGGGGGGTGTTGAATTCCCAGAAATCCAGACTGTGTTATGTATTGTTACCAGGGGAGATGTACAGGGTTATTTATGGACACACTTACTGTCTGTGTAAAGATCTCTGTGAAGCTTGCCACAGGATTTTCTAAATATAGATGGAAAGGGCTTTTTAAAGAAAAATGGCAGCTGCTTGTATTCTATTTTTAGCGCATGTTCAAAACAAGGATTAATGTAAGTGACAGTTTCAGTCAAGTCAGCAATATGCTTTGCTTTTTCTTTCCATTTCAACTAAGTCTGTTATTTCAAATAGAGAAAGGAATAGGATTACAATGTGGGACTCGAGGGCTGTCACTAATTATCCTGAAATGAAACAATGTCCACTAGTCAGAGAGCAGAGATGTTGTGGAGTCTCACAGCTCTATGATTCTATTGCCATTATGAAAATCCCTCCATTCTGATTGGCTACGGGAGGTGTTCTGATTTGCATAATGACTGCTATTTCTCAATTAGGAAATATGCAGATCCCTGCACTATGACTGGTTCCTGCTCTCAGCACTCCAAATGCATTTGCCAGGAACCAACACAGGGGCTTATCCACTCTCAGTGAAGACAGCAGTCTTTCAACCATGTTTCTCCTCAACTTTACACTCCGCTTAGCTTTCAGTATCAGCAGGCCTGAAGAACATGTGTGCGCACACACATGCATATGGGTGTGGGCAGGGGGTAGGGAGAGTCCAAAATTACCCTTTACTTCCCAGTGCCCAAAATGTTCAGGCTTTTGACCACTCTTTTTTGGAGAGAGGGTAAATGGAGCAAAGAAAAAGATAAGAGGATGGAGAGAAGTAATGGAGATGGAAAGTGGGGGTGGTGAAAAAGGAGAGAAAAGCTTTTAAATATACTGTTACAAAACTTATTTTTTTTAAGGGAGCTGTGTGTGGGTTAGGGTTTCTTGCTAAGTAGCAAAGGCCTGGGAGGTGCTGAGGTGTAGCAATGGGAGGAAATGGATAAGAGGAGGGAGAAAATGTTTTCATATAAGTACGTGGAGGGGGATTCCTCTAAATTTGGCAATAACCTTACACTGCGCTGATATGAACCTCAGCCTCTGAATTTATTTAACATTAACACACTGGCCTTTAACTGTACTTAGCCCAGGATACAGTTATTACACCAAGCAGAGAAAACCCTCCATTTACCATTTAAAATAAATGAAGAGGACTCCTTGGAATGATTAGGTTGTTTTTCAGGGTTTTGTGTTTTTTGTTTTTTCAATTAAACTCAGGAACAGATTTTTTGGAGGTTTTTTTTCCCTTAAGTCTCCACTTTTCAGACAGTTTTAATGGTAAGTTAGGCTCAGAAAGGAGATGGTAGAGTAGACTAATGTAAATCCAAAGCATAGCACATTAAAAGAATTAAACCACTTAAACAAATTACTCTAATTTGTAGTGCGGAGTCCCAGAATTTCAATCACTGGCAAACAAGCAGTGACAAGGTGAGCACATATTTGTTCACAAAAATCAAATGAAAATAAAGTCAGAGAAACAAGAGGCTTTGCCTTTAAAATGATTATGTACATTAGCTCTGGAAGGTGGCTACAGGGCTATGTATATTTTGCAGTGCCGCTGGAAACAGAAACACAATGGTGGTAAAAGTTATCAGCTCACGGAGGAATGATAAGGGGGTGTTTAATCCAGCTTTTCTTCTCATTGCACAAACAAAAAAGCCCCCAGATCCAAAGGTCATGTTATTAAATCTGTACATCATTCAACTTCAATAGAATTACACCAAAAATGAATGGGGCCTAATATGTATATTTTTAAAACAAGGATTCTTTTCAGTTTTGCATAGCAGTTTACGCTAGCTGAATAATTAATCAGTATTCAAGCCGGGCTAAAAGTAACACTGACATATGTACTTCAGATTTTAGAACAATAAAGCTTGTGATACCTACAGATTTTATCTGTGCCAGTACTTTTCTTAATTGTAAACAAGTAATGAAAAAAAAACCCACCAGAACAATGAGCTAGATCCTCCCCTACATTAGGGCAGCTTTGCCCTACTGAACTGGTGTAAAGCTATCCTAAGAACGGCTTTCCCAACAACTAGAAGATCCCCTTGAGAAGGGGAATCCTTAGATGGCACAGAAAAAGCATATGGGTTGTGTTATGATAATTGGCTCTACAAAGTTACCCTAAGATCCATTGTAAAAAGTATGTGAAAGTTCATAAGATGTTACAATAACCACAAATAATAGGTCAGTTGTTTACAACGATGAATGTTACAATAGATGCAAGAAAACCACACAGAGAAACGATTAGTCCAATCCAAATGGCCTACTGATATAAATCAAGGACTGTGGTGAGATTATACTTGGTAAACAAGACAATGTGGGAACAAAGTTACCTGTGCCAAATTTGTCCTTACAGAAATGGATTTAATTGGTGGACAAAACAATGAGGATATATGCCAACAGCTTTAATCCTTTTGGGACAGTTCATCCCCTAATGTGCCAGCATTCAACGCCTCTCAACTCTTCTAAAGGACTCACTTCCTGAGAGGAAGGCTGGCTGGCCTTGCTCTTGTTTAAGGAACTTTGTCTTCCCATTTAAGAGCTGAAAGTCATTATATTATCTTGACATCCAGTCTGCGGCGAACAGCAGAGAGGATAACAGAGGGAGTTTGCCTGGGATCTGTCTGAGAGGAGGTACGCTAAGGGCTGCATTAGGGAGGCTGTGTTGGTGAGTATCTGAGTCTCTGTTGGGGGGACAGTTTGACCGTGTGCTTCACTGGTTGTTTGAAAAGTGTGAATTGGGAGTGCTTTGTTCCAGGTGAGCCTTGAGTGGGCCTGACTGTTATAAAAAGCCAGTCAGCTGAGCGGCGAACAGCAGAGAGGCTAACAGAGGGAGTTTGCCTGGGAGTTCGCCCGGGGAGAGCCCACTGAGGCTTACATCTTGCTGGCTTCTCCAAGCAGTTTCTACAACTCCTGAGGAAGCTCGTAGAAGGAAGGTAATATGGATGGGGAGCATTCAGCTGTTGTGACCTGCACTGGATGTGCCATGTTAGTCTTTCTTCCACAGGACAGAAGCGACTTTGTCTGTACAAAGTGCAAGCTGGTCTCCATATTGGAAGAGAAGGTTCAAGGTCTGGAGAAACAAATATTGACCCTGCGTTGCATAACACGAAATCTTCAGTTTCTCGACAGACATCAGGATATGGTTCTACAGGCACAATGTTCTGAAGATTCAGAGCAGGCTGTGCAGCGGGGACAGGAGGACAGTGAAGAAATTTGGCAGCATGTGACCTCCAGAAAAAGAAAGGGGAGCGTCCATGTACCAGCAGCACAGATACAGGTAAGCAACCATTTTCGTGTTCTCTCCACAGGTACTAATGTGGAGAGTGGACTAGATAATACATCTGAGGGAAGGGAACAGAAGGAGACTCCGCCGATTGGAAGGCATGAAATGCACTGTCCTAGGGATAGGGGTTCCACGACCACTGCTCCGAAGAGGAGGAGGCAGGTGGTGGTGGTCGGGGACTCTCTCCTCAGCGGGACTGAGTCATCTATCTTCCGCCCCGACCGGGAAAACCGAGAAGTCTGCTGCTTGCCAGGAGCTAGGATTCACGATGTGACGGAGAGACTGCCGAGACTCATCAAGCCCTCGGATCGCTACCCCTTCCTTCTCCTCCATGTGGGCACCAATGATACTGCCAAGAATGACCTTGAGCGGATCACTGCAGACTATGTGGCTCTGGGAAGAAGGATAAAGGAGTTTGAGGCGTAAGTGGTGTTTTCATCCATCCTCCCCGTAGAAGGAAAAGGCCTGGGTAGAGACCGTCGAATCGTGGAAGTCAATGAATGGCTATGCAGGTGGTGTCGGAGAGAAGGCTTTAGATTCTTTGACCATGGGATGGTGTTCCAAGAAGGAGGAGTGCTAGGCAGAGATGAGCTCCACCTAACGAAGAGAGGGAAGAGCATCTTCGGAAGCAGGCTGGCTAACCTAGTGAGGAGGGCTTTAAACTAGGTTCACCGGGGGAAGGAGACAAAAGCCCTGAGGTAAGTGGGAACGTGGGATATTGGGAGGAAGCATGAGCGGGAGAACATGAAAGGGGAGGGCTCCTGCCTCATACTAAGAAAGCAGGACAAACAGCAAGTTCTCTCAAGTGCCTATACACAAATGCAAGAAGCCTGGGAAACAAGCAGGGAGAACTGGAAGTCCTGGCACAGTCAAGGAATTATGATGTGATTGGAATAACAGAGACTTGGTGGGATAACTCACATGACTGGAGTACTGTCATGGATGGATATAAACAGTTCAGAAAGGACAGGCAGGGCAGAAAAGTTGGGGGAGTTGCATTGTATGTAAGAGAGCAGTATGACTGCTCAGAGCTCCGGTATGAAACTGCAGAAAAACCTGAGTGTCTCTGGATTAAGTTTAGAAGCGTGAGCAACAAGGGTGATGTCGTGGTGGGAGTCTGCTATAGACCACCGGATCAGGGGGATGCGGTGGACAAGGCTTTCTTCCGGCAGCTAACAGAAGTTACTAGATCACAGGCTCTGGTTCTTATGAGAGATTTCAATCACCCTGATATCTGCTGGGAGAGCAATACAGCGGTGCACAGACAATCCAGGAAGTTTTTGGAAAGTGTAGGGGACAATTTCCTG